AACGATGGACATGGGAGTCTCCCGGTGGACGATTCCACAACGAAATAGACCACATCATATTCAATCGACGGTTTTGCCTGACTGATGTCGCTGTTGTCCCAAAATTTCAAACGGGATCAGACCACCGTCTCCTTCGTGCAAAATTCTACTTCACACATTAAAATACTTTTCAGTAAGTGAAAGGCAACATTTTTAGATACAGGGAATTTTTAATTAAATCAGCATAATTAAGAAAAAGATATAAGGTCACTGCCAACTAATCTTACCAGGCTAAGAAACACAACCTAAAGAGACAGTGATATCCTCAATCTTTAGATATATTAATATAGCCGATTCTATAAATCTGAATAGAAAACTATTCTCTCACAGGTATGAGATGGCTATCTCCATCTCTTGGAAAGGTGAATGTGACAAATTAAGTTCAGTCATATCCTTGGAAAGGGACAGTGATTGCACTTGCTGACCTGGAATTATCATTAATTCAAAAAGCTGATCATACATTTAAAACACAAGCCAATCTTATTTAAATCAGGACTGCCCAACAAAAATACGCTATCGGTCACTCATGATCTGAATTCTGGTGAACGAGATGGATTTAAATATGGTACACATAAAAAAGTCATGAGACAGTTGTTTTGTAATAAATAAGGTGGTGCCAACTATTACTCATTAGTAGCTTTTCTGAGCTAAGATATCAACTCTGCCTGGTCTTCTTCTTAATGCCAGCAAAGATCATTTTTTTTTATCCAGGGATGTACTTCTTGGGATTCTCCAAATACTCCATCAGCGTGTCCTCATTCCAGGTGATGCCTTTGTTCTTGTTGGCATCAGTGTAAGAGAATCCAGCGGCCTGACCCATCTTTTACCCAAACAGACCATGGAGATTTGGACCCGTCTTGTGCTTGCCTCCCTTCTCCACAGTATGGCACTGAGCGCACTTCTGGAAAAAAAATCTTCTTGCCCTTCTCAATATCACCAATCTTTGAATTTCGCCATCATCTCACGTGACATGGAGAGTTCGCCTCAGTTCAATTCTTTTATTTTCTTGGTTTGGATTCCATAGTCCGATCACAGAACTGTTCTTTTTGCCACTTTGGCCCTGCCTCTTCCTCAAATTCAACTTCTCAAAAACCATTTTCAGGTTCATTTTTTCTCACACTGAGCAGTGGCAAAGGGAATGGCTGGGACTCTGCAAGGAATGAGGATCCAGTTGGGAGTAAAGTCAAACAAGCCTACAGGTTAGATACTAGACTTGCAAAAGAAGTTTGTAGGACGAGAGTTACAAAGAGATCAAAACAGTCTGAAACGCACAAAAGGTGCAAAGTATGAAGGAAGCTTACAAAATTCACAAAGCAGTCATTTAATCAGTGTGGAAGTTGAAAGAAGCAGAGTTAAATCACATTTGTTCAAAGGCACAGATAACTAAAGGAGTTGTGACTGAACACCATCTGGACTTGGATATGGTCACATTAATGCTAACAGGGATTCTGAACATTAGGGCAGTCTCTGCCAGGATTGGTTCCTTCATCAGTGCCAAGGTCTATTAAAGTTATAATTTTAAAGACTAAGAAACAGAATGATTGGATTGTTATGGTATGTTAAATGAAGAAGCTGGATGCCAAATATCTAGGTTTTGGCTAAAATTTTACCACAATATTATATATGCAAAAATGAGACAAACAAAGCTGTTTGTGAAAAATATTTTAAAATCATATTAATTTTATATTTCCAAACCCTTAAAATTCCATGTTAGGTAGTTGGAAGATTAGATACAACAAAAAATATAACAACTGTTCTGATTTTTCTCATCCTTTTTTCTTTGTTTGTTTACATTTGGGCTATACAAGGCAACATTCAAGGTTTACTCCAGGCTGTGTGCTAAGGGATCACTTCTGGCAGGGTTCGGGGGATCATCTGGGGTGCTGAGAATCACACTTGGGTCAGCTACATGCAAGGCAAGTGCCCTATCCGCTGTACATCTCTCTAGCTCCTGTTCTAAATTTTCAAGGCGGATGAACCAGAATTACATAGCTTTGAGGACAGAGAGTACCCAACAATTAAAAAATAGAAACAAAATACCAGATTCCACAATATTAACTGTACGGAGATTTCCTGGGTCACAAGCCTAAAGAACTGTGCCCAGCACAGCCCTACATCAAGTCAGCAGTATGTGGAGCTGGGAACAGAGGCCACAGTCACATGTATTCACTCTTGATCACTTCCTTATGTATTCACTCTTGATCACTTCCTGGCATCAGTGATTTGCTGATAAACAAAATTATCATTCACGGTTCGAAATACTGGAATACCTCAAATATATGAAACAGTGAGCAGAAGTAGAAACAAAGTAGGGAAGGAAATCTGGATAAGCGTATTTCTCACCAGCTTGGGGTGATGTCTCAGAAGCACTCTTCCTACAGTTAGGCTTTCCTTTCCTTGCAAAGAAACTGGCAATAAGCATCGAAAGGGAGAAAATGAATACAGAAAAGTCCAGAAGATAGAATGAGAAACTTAACTTCCATAGGGTATCTGGAGGAGGAAGAAGTCCAAACTCACTTAAATAGGTTCCCTTGGATCTTTCTCAATTTTATTCTTCATAGTAGAAAAGCCCAGGACACCTTAACCCTTTAGGCATTCCACGGGCCATGCTTGTCTACATTAGAAGAGGGGTGAGACTCAGAAATTTCACCCAGGTCATGACAGAACTAATACTAAATATGAAAAGCCTGGATTTTTAAAACTGGTAATAGTTTTTAGTGAGCTTTAACTCACACTCCATGCAATCCACCCATTTAAAATGTGTACACTGATAATTTTTGCATATTTACAGACATGTACAGCCATCTCAATTTTAGAAAACTCCATTACCTGAAAAAGAATCCCACCCTTTAGTTCTCATTCTGTATCTCCAGCCCCTGTCCTAAGACTCAATGCCAGCATTCCAATTTGTATGCATTTGGCTCTCATGGCGGTCAGCTAGCTCCAGATGGGATGACAGAGTTCATGTAAGTGGAATCATGTAATATGTGGTATTTTATAAGTGGCTTTTAAAAAACTAATTATAGTGTTTTTAAGGGTCATCCACTTCCATGTTTAGCACTTCATTCCTTAAATATTTTTAAAAGTGGTCTTAATAGCAGTTTTTGCTCATTCACTCATCAGTTCACAGACATATGGTAAGCCTAAGGTAAAGGTAAAGGTAAAGGCCCTCCCGTTGTTCGTCGATTTGCTCGAGCGGGCCCAGTAACGTCTCCATTGGAGACTTCGTTGTTACTGTGTTTGGCATATCGAATACGTCACGGGGGGGCTTGCCAGGCTCTGCCGTGCGGGCAAGATACTCTCGGTAGCTTGCCAGGCTCTCCGAGAGGGGCGGAGGAATCAAACTTGGGTCGGCCATGTTTGCTGCGTGCAAGGCAAATGCCCTACCGCTGTGCTATTGTTCCAGCCCATGGGTAAGCCTAATATAAACTTTCATGTCCAAGTTCAAATGTGGACACCCATTTTCATTTATCTAGAGAAGGGCTTTCTGAGTAATGTGGCAACTTGGTGCTGACCTGTTTGAACTAATTTTTCTGTGGATTTCTAAGGATTTTCTTTAGACAAAATCACAGAACTGAACTGGCAGAGTAAGTTTTACTTCCTCCATTCCGATCTGGTTGCACAATTAATTATTAACTGTCTTTAGCTAGAACCTCAGCTACAAAGCAGAATTCAGAGTTGAATTCATGTGCTAGGATTTCCATATAAAAATATCACAAATGGAATGGCTTAAACAACAGGAGTCCATTTCCTCCCAGCTCTGGAGGCTGAAAGGCCAAGATCAAGGTACCAACAGTGTTGGTTTCTTCTGAGGGATTCCCTCCTTGTGTATGCCCATCTTATCTCTGCAGCAGGGCATTTTCTTATGTGTGTGCCTGTCCTAATGTACTTTCTTCTAAGGATATCTGTCCTACTGGATTAGGGCCCTCTCATGCTACCTCGCTTCATCTGAACCAATTCTTGAAAAGCCTGATCGCTAAGTATTGCCACATTTTGCAGTGCTCCAACTTAGGATTTCAATATACTGTGGGAATTTTGAGAGGACACAATTAACCCCATAATAGGGTTACTTAGATGGATAATCAAGGAGAAATATTAACCACCTTTGAGCGGACTCTGAGACTGTGAATTTTGAGTAGATTTTGGTAAGTTTTAGTAGAATCCTTCTGGTTGTATGTATCTCTTTTCTACAGTATCCTTTCACCCCGAGAGCGTTCTCAGTTACTGGCTGGGGGTGGTGGTGGTAATTAACAGTCTCCTGCTGTGGGATCCAAACAACACGTGTACAATATTCCCAGAAACAGGTCTTTCTCAGCATCAGAAGCCAAAGTTATACTTTTGCCCAGTGGGTTCTTTTTAAGAACATTTTTTTAAAACCTGAGGACAGATGTTGCTAGTAATGACAATCACTTATTACAAGCAGCTAGAAAGTCATGAAATGACTTTTGGTACAAAAGTGCAAGTAGCTGGCCTCAGTGGGCTGAAACTACAAGGGGATTCTTTCACAATACTAGCGCCATTGCAAATAAGGATATTTTGAAAGAGTTTTTGTACAATCAAAATGAAAGATGAAGATGCAGAGAGCTGAGATAACAGTCACACTAAGTCAAAGCTTAGTCCAGAAGATTTTACTTAGCTATTATGTAATAATTTATTTTCTCTAAACATCCCAAAACAGAATTATCAGAAACTAGTTTAAGGTTTAGGTACTTATTATGTAAAGTTAAGATGTACATAAAAGACGAGATCCCAAATAGCATTTGTATCTATGTTATAACGGTAAGTCACACATATTCAGTGTGCAAACACTGGTAGGAATTCAAAACATCCCCTGATGTTGCTGTGTCTATACCAATGACAGTAATCGGTGGGTGTCTCAGACATGACCTCGTTTTGAAGTTTAAGAAAGCAAAAAGTCAAAGCTTCCATTGAACAGAGTGTTCGTTATAAATGTATCTTACCTAATGGTCAGTTTTACAGGCTCAGGAGAACCACTGACATTGAAGAGGAACTCTTCTTCAAAGTGGCCCAGGGTCGAGGAGGTGAAGCAGATCTGGAGAGCCTGGACCCCACTGCGCTCAATGATGCCCTCCTTGGGACTGAAAGTAAAGCAGGTCCCAAATACTGAGACTGGAGGGATCAGGTTGAAGAGGGCATCGATGCTTCCTTTGTTGGACAGTACTGTCTATTTTTTTTAAAGAAGGAAAAACAAAAAGGTTTAGAATGCACTTCTTTTAAAAATATTCTCATCTGGCTATATTATTTAACACCAACAGAGAGACAGGGGCAAGAAGAACAACCACCACCACCAACAAACAAAACCAAGAAAACCTCCAGGGAAGAAATTAATAGGTATCTTGATGTAAATTTTTGAAGACAGGAATCCCAACTCAAAAAAAAAGAATTTTGCATTTCTAGTAATCGGTTATTCACATGTTATGCTGTAGTGAATGATCATAATCACATCTACTAAAAATTGCCTTAAAATGCTTTTTTGGTACTTTATAAAGTAACCAGGGAAAAGTAGGCATTATTTTTTTAATCTGCTAGAAAGGCGGAGACTAAGTGTCATGCTGAAACATGAACAGCAACTCAGAACAGTGGGCAAGTACTCTTAAGCCCATATTTATAATGTAGCTTGAAGTATGTAAATTAGACAGCACTGTGGATTCCAGAGTGCAAGGATTCTCTTTGTAATATGATCCTAAAGACTTCATCCTTTGAGGCTTATTTTTCATCTCACTCTACTGGTTGCATAATTGGGGATTCTTGGGTAAGCAACTGTCCTCCAATAGAAATGCTGCCATCACATGCACAGTAGCCTGGAGACATGTGATGTTCCATATTGGACTGCACATATTTATTTGGCGATAAAGAGCTCATGTCTGACATTCTGAGTCCCCCACCGCTTTCTCAGCCTAACACTCCCATCTCCCTGTTCCCACACAAACCTGCATTCTAGACTCCCTGTCCACAAACCTGCATTCTAGCCAGGTAGTTCTATTCCTGAGTTTCTGAGACATCTATTCCTTGCCAATGCTTACAACTCATCAGATGAATAGCACATCCAATCTGTTTACAAAGGAACTACTCCCCAGTCACACCCACGACTCTGGAGGGGCAAAAAGAGCACAAGAAATGGTGAAGAAACAGTCAGAAAGATGTCCCAAATGTCAACCACCTAGAAGCCAAGGAGGGGGCCGACTTGACATAGGTGACGGAATAAAAGCTCCAGGAAAGTGTTATGTACTTTTACCTTTTATCTCCCATCTGCTCTTGAAGACAAGAGTCATCACAATGGGATAAGACCTGAGTCCAGAGCCCAAATGTTTAAGGAGTCTGTTGGTTCAAGGGGGCTTGTTTTAGATTCTTCTAGATTCCTGTTTGGGGGAAGCTGAGTTATGGGATGGGAGAATAGGAGTGGCAAAACTGAAAAAGCAGAGTAGAAGAGACCTCATACATGGACATGAACTGAGTTTAAACTCAGTTTGTTGCTGTATCAAGAGAAGAGGCTAGGTGAGCTAGGGAACGGTGAATGGCATCCGGAGGATGGGAGAAGTCCAGTGCACGGGCTGCTGCCTCAGAGACTGAGAAAGGGTCAGAAGCTCATGGAGGACAGAGTCAGGGGCCCCTGCAGAGGAAGACAATCACTTCTGCCAGGAAAAGATGAATCAGCTTCCAGAATCTATTCACCGCTTAATGATGCTTTACCACTTCCCAGTTCTTTTAAGTTCTCTAGTAGTAGGAACCAGCTTCACCTTTTATTTCTTTTTGAAAAGATCACATAGAAAAGTGATTATGACCAAGGGTTTGAAAAGAAAATTGCCTGGGTTCAAATTCTAACTTTGTCATTGACCTACAGGCTGTGTGACTTTGGGTAAACACCTTAGCTTCTCTGTGCCCCAGTTTCCCCCTCTCTGAGATCCAACCACTACTTAATGGCTGTGAAGAGGAAATGTATCCATTCCCCTGACTCTCAGAACAGTGCCTGGCACACTGTGCTTATAAATGACAGTGACTGCTATTTCCAGCCCCAGTGTCAAGCAGAATGGGTTTAAAATTTAATGTGCTTTTAATTGAGTGATGAGCATATACTTGGTGCATCTAAGGGGGTGGGGAGAAGGCACTCCGCAGTTTACAGAGGCAGCTAGCAGAAGGACCCTTGTCCTTCTGGCTGCTGCAGAGACTGGCTCTGTGTTTCCTAGAAGCAGCAGCACTTCAGCTCAATTTGAGGGTACCATGTCTTCCATGTATGAGAACATTCATGTCACTTCTTTCCCCTGGATTCTCCTTTTAAAAATTTTTTTTTCTTTTTGGGTCACACCCAGTGATGCTCAGGGGTTATTCCTCACCCTGCACTCACGAATTACTCCTGGCGGTGCTTGGGGACAATATGGGGTGCAGGGGATAGAACCTGGGTTGGCTGCGTGCAAGGCAAACGCTCTACCCATTGTATCCAGCCCCCGGATTCTCCTTAGGCACACAGAACCCAGTACGTCATGCGGGACAGTTCTGAGACCCCTGACTCTGGGATGAGGGCTGCCCTGCCCTCTCGCATCCTGGGTCCTCAGAGAGAAGGAGCTTGTTAATGGGAAACTTCACCTCTCATCTATTTCCCTTCTAATTACACTGGGACGAGCATATACTCTGAGGTCATGGTTTATTCTTTATGAGTCTGCTAAGCTCAGCAATGATGAAGGGCAAGAGCTAGGTATTCAAATTTGTCTCAAGCAGGTAACATAATAAATTGAAAGAGAGATGCAATGAGGCATCAGCACTAAATACGCAGAGGTGGCAAAACGGTCCCATCAGAAGCACTTTTCCGTGCCCTTCTCTGCCACTGTCCGGCTCTAGGCTGGCCCCTCATGCACAGCACCTCATTTAACTCCAGCTTCATGGGCCTTATCTGAGAGGATGAGAGGTGGCAGTCTAAAGAAATACTTCCACTCAATTTGAGAGAAACTAATTTTACAATTTGGGAAATCATATCCATGCTGCGTGGGTTATAATCTGTCACTTTTTCTAATCTGGCAGCCCTGGACACAGCCTGGACGAGGTAAGGGGAATGCACACTGGTCGGTTACAGACCCAATATCCTGCTCTGGAGAATGACTCTCCCTGTTCTTCTGCCAAACTGCCCTGTAGGAGACGACAACACAGCAGCCATGCCACCATGCCACTTCTCCCATTGCGGGTCATGTGACTTTCACAGATCATCTGTGTCTGACATTTTGTCCATTTCACTGTGACCCCAATAGCGCCATTATCTTCCCACCACCCCACTCAGCCCCAGATGCTTCAGTGCCTTGGGGTGACTGCCGTGTGGGAGGCGGGCAGCAGCGGAGGCCCCCCAAGGCCATGCTGGGTGCTAAGCTGGCTATGGGCTGGGAGCTGCAAGAGAGAAAGGCAGCAAAGGGCCTCTCTTCCCACGGGGTCCATGAGCCCGCAACCCAGTGAGCTGACACTGACATAAGTCTGGCCTCACTGAATTATTTCCATTTCCCTTACTGCTCACTGAGCCCAGATCCTCCTTTGCCCAGCCACACTGGGCCAGGTGAGGGGCCACCACCTCCCTTCGGACAGTCTCCTGTGCCTTGCTCTATCTCTGCCTCAGGTTCCTGGGAGCACTGCTGTTAACTAGAAGTCTTGCTTAAAACTTTAGGTGTGGACAAAAACAGAGTTCTGTCAGGCTGGTGAGAGGACCCATGTTGAAGCTGCTTATTACCTGAGTAGGGAGACTTCTCTAAGTCTCAGCTTCCTCTGTTTTAAATCAGAAATAGTCCTTTGTGCTTTTTCCACTGGGCTTTTGTGGCACTGAGCTAGTACGCATGTGCTAAACACAGGCTGCCAGTGGCATAAACTACTGGACTCGGTAGTTGGTGTTTGCAAGAGAGGTCTGATCAGACCCCCATAGCACTTCTGGAAGGACTGGGGGGCAACACAAGCACAGTCAGACCTGTGGAGACAGTCGGAATGGGAACTTGACACTTCCCTGCACTTATTAAACAACTGCTTTGATCATTACCTCTATCCAGAGGCAGCCAATTACAATCTAAGAATCTGTCAAAAATACAATTTCAATGATTATACTTTGATATAATGAAAAACACGGCCCCAGATATAAATTTAGCAAAACGATTCTTGCCTCTAAGGAATACATGAGTAACTCTTGTTAAAGGACTTTTTTATCTTTAATCCAAGGACATGGCTGAGTGGCCCCCTCCAGAAACACAATGGTTGGAGATGACCAAGATGCAGAGAACTTTCTGCAGTGTGCAAACAGCATCCGCATTAAGACATTCTGGAAACTGTAAAAGGTTCCCTCTCCTCTTCTCTATAGGATTTATGCTGTCAGAGTAAAAGCTACTGAACAGATGGGAGAGATATTTATGGTGAATATACAACCAATTAATTTGGTGCTTTTTTTTTTTAGTAAAGTTAGAGGAGGTTCAAAGGGTGGAAAAGTTGCTTCTGTAACCAGGTGAGGAGAGAGAAAGAAGATTCCAATCATTCTCAGGGCTGAATAAGTATGAGCACAGATAATATAGCTCTTAATTAAATGAACACACACACACACACACACACACACACACACGAATCTAGACTACCTGAGTCTTAAGACAGTTCTAAGACTTACCTCATAGCAATGCACAGATCCAACAAAGATTTTTCCAATATCCAGCAATTCGAAGTTGAACTGAATCTTCGGCCCCAGGCCCTCCCCTTTGATTCGAAGGGGCATGCGGCTCTCTCGGCCTAGAAAACCAATCCAGACTTTACTACCCAAAATAAGGCCTTTCACCCCTGAGTCCTCAAGACCTGCTCTCATGTAAGCAGTCATGGTTTCTGAACCAACTCTGTGCCCGACACGGGGAGCAAAACTGAACCAAAGCTGAAGATTCAGTGCACTGTTGGGGTAAAAACACTATGGGTTCTTCTCTTCAGGAAATAGTTTATTTTGCACTTTATGCTGGTATTTCAGTAGGATTTTATCTCATTTTGGCAATTAAAGTGGAATGAATCTTACCAATATTGTTCAGTACCTTGTAAGGGAAAGTTATCTAAGTGAGAGTGACTACTGATCAATGTTTCTTTTAAGGTGAGGCTCACTGGGGACCTCACAGGACACTGTCCTCAGTGGTCTTCCCTAGATCTAGGAAGATGGATGCAAAGGTATCTGAATCTGGTGACCCTCACACCTGAGCAGGTTCTAGGACCCACCAAAGGGCACCTGCAATCTCTGTCCACAGCAGCCCGAGAGTGAACACAGAACACTCACTACCTTTACAGCACTGGCGAGTTTGTTTCCTTAAGAAAAATTAGTTAATTTGATCATTCATGTTCATTATTTGAAATCCTAGTGCAAGTAGGAAATTCCCTCATAATTCCACCACCCAAGATTACCCTGTTGGGTAACAGGTCTTCCTTACTTAACACATTGATGCTGGTGCTACAATTGTGTCAAGTTACATCCAAGTATGAGGTGCCGGATGTGCCAATGTTGCATTTAATCATAGTTAAATACTATCAACGTAAAATGAAAGCATGTTCTGTGCTATATATTATTTTGAAACCTGATTTTTTGGGGGGGGGTTCCCAACCGGTGCTCAGGGATCCAGGGGCCACTCCTGTTGTTACTTGGCCATCAAGGGCTTTTGGGTCAGGTCTATGGCATAATGGTGTGGTGCCATTTAGTCTTGGTTCTAGAACCCCCACAGCCACCCTGGATGTGCTTTAACGGCTCCCCAGGGCTGCACTGGATGATGCTTAGGAGGCCCTGTAAGCTAGGGACAGAGCCTGGGTTGGGCGCACCCCACACTGCCTCCCTGTCTCCTATAACCTGCTTTGATCACGTGGCAATATCCCTGAAACAGTTTTCTAGAACATCACCTAAAGATGAGGTCATGATGTAGTTTGTTTTATATCTGGGCCACATCTGGTCATGCTCAGGGCTTATTCCTGGTTCTATGCTCAGAGCTTCGGGCACCATACGGGATGCTGGGGATTAAACCTGGGTTGACTGTGTGCAAGGCACCATACCCCGCTGAACTCTCTCTGAGCATGGATAGTTTTCCTGTGAACAGTCAGCATGTGGAAGATATCATCCCTTATTTCTTGCCTTCTACTGTTTCTGGTGCAAAGTCAGCACACAGGCTAACTATTCACTTTGCTAAATATGTTCTTTACTTTGAAAGCTTTTAGATTTTCACTTTGTCTATGGTTTTCAGTTTTACACTGGTATTTCTGGAAGTAACTCCCCTTTAGGAGTTACTTCTTTTGGACGGGGGCGGGGCTTCTCAGCAGAGCTCAGGGCCATGAGGGCCACCCCCAGTGAAACTTGGCCCAGTAGTCACTGACTGGCCATGTGCTGCTAAAACCCGGTGATATTGGACACCACAGGACATGAAGGCTATCTCTGGAGACACATGGTCTTGGGGATAGAACCCTGGGACCTTACACAAGCTAGGTCTATGAGCCAACCTTGCAAGTAAGTCCTTGAGGCACTTGTTAAATCTGTGTAGGGACATCTTCCATGAGTTTTGGGAAATGTTTCAGCTATTATTCTTTCAATTAGAAACTATGCACTTGCCTCACTTCCTTCTGCCCAAAAAGAGAGATTGTGTGATTCTCCGACCTTTGTATCACCTTCTATTTATCCAATTCTTGCTCACTTCCAGATTTTATTGCAACAAATCATTTTCTTTTGATTTATTCAATTTCCAGTTTACAAAATTTATTCTTCGACTGTACTAAATAGGACATTAAATTATTCTTCTGAGTTACCAATTTGTCATCGTAACTTTTTCATTCTAGACCTGCCACTATATATATAGTTTTGAGACCTCTGTTCAATCTTTCCTTTCATAAATGCACCTAACAAATCTGTCAGATAATTCTATTTTATGTTCCCATGTGGATTTTTATACTTTTATTGTTTATCTTGGTGTTCCATCAGATTGTGTTACCTCCTCCCAGGCTTTGTTAGCTTTGAATGTGGATTAATTCGTGTGTGTGTGTGTATGCACACACAAACTCTAGAAATCATTAAGCCTTAGAATGATGCTGTCTTTATCCAGCTGTGGCTGATAACTAGGGGACATTCACATGCCCTTATAACCTAACCACTCAGCTAAAATTCTGTGAGGGTACTAGACTCTAGAATAGTCATTTTTGTGACTATTTTCTTAATTCCTACAAAAAAGATACATAGTTTGTACTACCATGGATATAAAAAAAGAAATTCTTTGTGTAAAATAACTAGATAACTTTAGGGTCTTAGAGATTAATGATCTCTTGGTGCTCCAGTGTCTTGATCAAATTGATAATTGGAAAATGATTCAAATCCAAGCTTCAGTTCTTGTGAAAACTGGTCGATTTTTAATTCCCACATGGGGTCCCATTCCCATCCTGGGTGTGTGAGGTGGGGGTCTTTGAACCCCTCTCTGGGGGTCTTCCTCCTTGGGAATCCCATGAATTCGTGTTTTCTTCCCATCAAGTTTATTCTTTCTACAGTATCCATCCCAAAGGCCCTGTAGCTACGAATAAAGTGAGCCCCGCCTTGGTTGTCTTGTTCTTCCTTGCCTGGGTTTTGTTCCACAGTTCTCTAGTGTTCAGGTGGCTCCTTTGTTTTCAAGAGGTTTGTAAATATTTGGCTGCACTCTACTAGTTGTTCTTAGGAAGAGAGGAGCATTGATTCAAATGACCTAGCACATCATTATTGGATGGAGAATTGGCAGAGCAAAGGACTTTGACATTTGGCATCTACGCCCATATTGCCTCCAGAAAAGGACTTGAATTAATTTGCCACAAATATCAACAGTGTTTAAAAGTTTTATCTTTTCACATTTACCCTGACAGTAAGATTATCATTTTTGAAAATTTCCAATCCTTTAAGAGGTTTCTCTTAAGTTCATACTACTTAAAATTCAAGCTCTTTAAGGAGAATAAATGATACATTTGCTTTGTGTGTTATATTTTGAACATTAAGAAATACCTTCAGTGCTGTTAGACTTTTTAGAGTTACAGAAGATAAACTTTGAACAAGAAAGTCGCATTTCCGTTTATTTTAATTGCTACTGCTTATGAGAGTTTCTGTTCCACGGTATACGGTTGCTACTTCTGTTTCTTTCTGTTCTCTCTTTCAAAAACAGGAGTACTTAATTCTGTGCTCCCTCTGCTGCTAGACTCACACCGCTGATCAGTTCCTCACCTAATAACCAAGGATCATTCTGATTATTAGAAGCAGGAGCAATCTTCAACAATAGTTGTGATGCTGATTCATTTAAGGGTTTTTCTCAGTCCAGCTGATTGCTGGGAAAGATGCTTATCTAATGATCAGCCATTAGTGCTGACAATCTCTAGAACAGCATTTCTCAGCCAGGGGCTTATGACCCCACTGGAGGCCTCCAGGATATTTCAAAGGGGCCACTGGTGAAAGTTGCATAGGTGAGGGGCCACAGTATGAGATAAGGGGGCTGGCTAATCAGTAGGAAGGGTTACAAGAAGGAAACAAGGTCAAAGGGGGCCACGAGCAGAAAAAGGTTGAAAAACACTGCCCCAGAAGATTAGTTAAAATTTCAGAGACCAAACCTCATCACCCTACTGCATGATTTCAGAATTCTAATCTATTGGCAATGATTTGTACTCCTTGGTCAAGAGAAAAGCATTCTGACAGAGATCCAACTTTCAAACTGGCAAAGAAGGAGAATTGCAAATATATTGTCGATTAACTGCAAGACTATTTATATCTGTCAGGCTCAAAACTTCCCCCATCTGTTACCTTGACTGCCTTCCTCAATAACAGAGAAAGGAGGAGGAAAGGAAGAAAGGAATAAAGACAGACAGACAAGGAGATGTATTGTAATAAAGCAGTGAGTGAATGCTTCTCTGGGAATTATTAATTCCAAGGAGTTGTCTAGTCACCTCTCTTAGCCAGGATAGAATGGCAGTACAAACAATATCCAGCTATGCAATTGCAAGAGTTAGTCTCAATTAAAATTTAGACATGATAAATGCACTTTTTCACAAAAAATTCCAAGCAGGGATTTTTCTTGTCTTGGCAAAAGCCAGCAAGAGGAAAAATGTGGAGAATCAGTCATCTCTAAGGACAGCTTTGAGAAAAATATTTAAATGTATAAGTTTCTTATCTATGATTAGCATCCTGGTTTCATACATATAGCAGAGAGATTCACTATAGGAATTCCTTTAAAGTCACAAGATCCTTAAGTGCAATAGATTTATATGATTAAATTACATTAAATGCCAGCAAAGGTAACCAGAGACTTGGGAAAAACTTGCCATCTCAGATATTTAGATGTCCACTGTTACAGTAATGCTTAATTCCTGTGCAGTAAGACAAGAAGAGTGTTTATGGACAAGTAGGGTAATTAGGAAAAACAAAAGGGTTTTATTTCTATATCTTAGAAATATCTATGTGGAAATCAATAAAAATATGTAAAAATTTCAAATCAGTATGAGAATAATTACTAAATCAATATATAACATAAATATGTACTAGTTCTTTTCCATCTACAATAATAGTCAGGATTTTTTTTAGATATTATTTAAAATAGCAACAAAATGCCTAGAAATAAACCTAACCAAAATATACTCAAGACCTTCAAAGGCCCCATTATGTAACTATATTCAAAGTTATGAATACAGATCTAAATAGGTGGAGAACTAAGCTATGTTCTTGAAAAGGTACCTTAAATACAATAAAATTGTCCATTTCCCACCACTAAACTATCTGTGGA